AATTTAGGAAGCTTAAAAATATGACAGCCTAAACAGGCTCAACAAGTTCTGGTTGACAATTCTGACAATTTTGACAACACGTGAAATAGATACTCTTCTCTCATGTGATTCTTTCAGGCTTCTTGTAGTATTTTCTTGCACCGTGAGATGCTTTTTTCAAATGAAGGCCAGGGTAGTGACGCGAAACTTCGGATATATGTTAAAGCTGACAACCAGCTATATCGTTCCCAGAGGGGGTACTTGCAATGGGATATTTATTCTTCTGCAACGTCTTTCCCTGGTAAGATTCGAGACTTCACTGAAAGCTTCTCCTATGAAACTATCAATTGGCAACTTCTTGGGGTTGAGCATTTGTCGAGTAGAATCTGCTTGCATAACTAGATCATGGAACTAAGCTAAATGTCGGAGGATGATGATATTTAATAGTTCCTAGTTACCTCTTATGTTGTTTACCAAGTTCCCCGCAATTCATACAGGGGTGCCTGTTCCAGCAGCCTTTTCAGTCTCTACATCGCACCCCGAGCCCATCGCAGGGCCTAAATAATTAATACTTTAACCATGGGCCCCGACAATGGATTATTAGACTCTAATAACATCGTACGTCTCGCGATTCTCGCCCACCACAGGACCGCAGTCATGGGCCAGAGCCACGATGTCACAGGAAGTTCACACTACAGGGGTAAAAACTAGCCAGCATTATACCCAATTGTACCTTCAAGGGTTAACCAGGGGAGAGAGATCAGAGGGGAGGTTCCCGAAAGTGTTGGATCTACAATTTTGCAACAATGCCTAATAACCTACGGCCGTGAGGCTCGTGGGGCGAATCTCTCCACGTTCACGGCTCCCGCAATGCCTCTTTCAAGGTGGGAAAGCTCTGAATTCCCTCCGATGATGTACTGAGATGATATCTACGACACACGTTTTATGTAGAATAGGACATTTCCCTAGCAATCGGTGCCAGTGGAGATTAATGAAGTATGTGTTTCGCTCTCCAGAAAGTTGGACGAATAGTTAGCTGGTTTTTGAGAGGAAGAGCCTAAAGGGCGGAATGTTAGGCAGTGCACCCCCGAATCCTAATTAAGACTCTTAACTACTAATTGGCGTCCAGAGCCTTGTGTCAGATAGCTAAGGGAAACCTAATAAAGTAGCCTGTAAGACTCCAAGGCACGTAATTGTACTGAAATCGTCTCGCGCTACTAGTAGCTTGGCGCGTACCGGAGTGCCTGCAGGGATCCTCGTTCCAGCGGGCAACTACCCCACTGTACGTAATGTGGTTGCGCACGCTTGTTTACCCAAACGGCAGATATCAGCTTCAACTCTTACGCCTACCAAGATATCTCTCATTTCCACAGAAACAACACCACCTCTCCCCCAACGCCAGTCCGATATATTCGACCATCTCCCCCACGGTGAGTCATGCCTAGGGCATTGACTTGCAATTTCCGTATAACCCACCACCTTCAACACGTTGAGAAAGTTAACATCCCATTGTTTTGATGAATTCCGATTGAGGTCTATATAAAGCTCACTTTACCCCCTATCTCCTGGACACCAACAAGGGACTTGTGGGCGACAATGGCATTCCTGTTCAACCGCGCCAGAGCAAGGCAGCCCGCGGAGGTCGCGCGATTGATAAAGGAGTTCCTCGTGAGGCTCTGGGAAAACCCAAATGGCGGCTCGAAGGTTCGCTGCATTTATCTATCAAACTATGGAGATTCTGCTGACGGTCATGGAAACCAGATAGAGGAAGATTTAGCCAAGCAATTGGCCCATATGAAATTGATAGTTCAGGGGACACAGGGTCGGTAAAATTATTGGTGGATATCCGCCTCCCGTCCTCCGTCCCGCAAAATATTTACGAGAGGGAATAGTCTAGCTCACGATCTCCCGGTGAAGAAGTCGACATTCTTCCCGAACAGGTACAACAATTGATACAAGCCGTCATCCAAGACGACCTCCTCTACGAACTCGCCCGAAGTATCCGATACCTCCCATTCGAAGCAAGAAAAGATACGCAAACTATATTCTCCCATATCCTCCGTTTCAGACCCGCCAATGCGGACTCCTCAGAACCTCCTGTCATATCTTACATTGCTAGCAATCGGCCAGAAATTATAGTGGAGTTATGTTGGGGCTACGAAAATCATCGAAGCGCCATGCCCTGTGGCTCTATCCTGCGGGAGGCGCTCAAGTACGAGGTTATTGCGGCTATTATACTGTACGATGAGTCGGGAAGAGACGGGCCCTCTATCCATATTAATGAAGTTGATCCCGGTACCAAGCAGACTGGAGAGGGAGTCTTTTGGAATTTCTTCCAATGGATTAACCGCGGAAGCTTCGAAGTAGGCGCAGATGCATTTACTACTTTTAGAGTAGGTGACCACTTTCAATCTTTTCCCTTGTTATATTTGGTTTTTGCATAAGTGTACAAGAGAATCTTTTTTTGGTCCTTTTAGCTGACGTTTCTCCCTAGGAAATTCTCACGAAACATAAAGCCCTAGTGTCACAATATCTGTTATCGAATTTCGAGTTGTTCTTCGGCAAATACAACGATATTCTTGTCCAGTCGGACTCGTATGTGACGAAACGGCAAAGCATCAAGCTGCTAGGCGAGATCCTTCTAGACCGGGCTAATTATAATGTCATGACGAAATACGTGGATCGCGGAGATCATCTCAAGCTGTGTATGAACCTGTTGAGAGATGATCGCAAAATGGTCCAATATGAAGGATTCCACATTTTCAAGGTCCGACCCATCATCTGCCTCAACCCGGTTTATTTTATTTTATTTTTATTATTATTCCCGTTTCCTGCATATGACACAAAATGAATCTAACGCTCACACTTCTAGGTCTTTGTTGCAAATCCCAACAAATCTATTGCCGTCCAAAAGATCCTAATCAACAATCGCGATCGGCTGTTGAAATTCCTTCCCAAGTTCCTGGAGGACCGGACAGATGACGACCAGTTTACTGATGAAAAAAGCTTCCTTGTACGGCAGATTGAGATGCTGCCACTAGAACCTGTTGAACCTGGGCGGAAACAGACTAGCAATGTCAATGGCTCTGAGGCTGGCACAACTACCGCGGCGTAAAGTGGATGATGTTTAGAAGAGATACTTCAAAAGAGCTGCGGCTCGTAGATTACGCCATAACTCCCTACTCCATCTTTAAAGCCATTTTTTATCTCCTCCCTTTATTCCAGCCATGTGGGCACAACAAAGCACTGGATGCATCTAGATATAGCCTCCCATTCAACAAGTTTGCAAATAGTTTCTTTATGAAGAACCTGCTTTTCTCCTTTGTCTCACCTTTCTATTCTTCCCTTCTTTTTCCTTGGCATCTAGCCAAACGAGGGAGAGCAAGTTTATCACAGAGTTGGAGTGAATCGATTATTGATAGAATAAATGCCCAGGTGGGTGTTGGTCCGCGTTTTTGAAATAATAAAACCCCCTCTGCTTTCCGGTAATTAGACCAGTGCATGTAATAAAAGGGTTCATTGTAAGGGCCTAAACGCTCAGGGCAACGGCGCTTAGACACATCAGGCTTAGCGGCCGCTGGGACCCAGACCTTTAACAAAATCTGTAGATGTGATTGGCTGCAGTGGGCATTTAGTGGGGTGGCTTACATTGGTATCTGGGGAACGGCATAATTTCACGTGGACCAAGCTTATGGACAGACGTTACGGTGGTGATCTTTGCTTAATTTGGCTTCACCAGGTTTGGATTTATCAAGAATTCTTTGAATGTATATAATATCTCGGGTTCTTTTGCTCCGCTGCCTAAATTGACCAATGTACTGGCCGTGGGAATTGGTTTTCGTGATGTTTGTGGCCCGGCGGTTGGTGGCGTCCAAAATGGCAAGCTATTCTGCTGGGTGGCTATGCTGATTCGGGCGCTAATCCGTAATAGGAGACCTTGGCGCCCACAACCACCCCTGAAACTAACTCCATACTGCAAATATTACAAGAAATATCACCTGATTAGTGCCAAACCAATCAAATCAATCAAATCCGGTATTATTCATTGATCCTGTGTTTCATTGAATTGTATTTATCGAATTATGATTATCCTTCTATATAACTAGGTTGAATTTTTATTTTGCACTAATTCTTTAGAAATATATTTTTTATTTTTATTTTTTAATTATTATTTAAAAATGTTAAGTTTTAAATTAATAATTTTTATATAAAATATAAAATAATATTTAAAAAATTATATAATAATAATAATAATAATAACAATAAAAATATATTTTTAATTTAATTTATATAATTTTATAAAATATATTAATTTTATTTTTATTTTTAATAAAAGATTTAAATTATTTTATATATATATTTTTTAATTTTTATTTATATTTATATTATTTATATTTTAAAAATATTTATTAAATTTTTTTAATATGTTAATTTTATTTTATATCATAAATATAATTAATAAAATAAAATTATATGAAATAAATATATATTGTTGTTATTGTTATGACAAGCTAGTCAAGCTTTATCTAATTAAAATATCGAGGCACGTGATTTGGGAAGCCAAAGCAGTTCCCTTATACTTTTATGATCAGAAGCATCCTTGAAACTCATCTCGATTCACTTGGACCATTTCCAATCTCCGCCCCTTTTTTGCTTTCTCACTGTGCATCACTGTGATTACCTTGCCCCAGACTGCCCTAACTAACATTTCCCTAGAGTCTTCCTGTTAATCAATGGCACCAGTTGGTTTTTCTTTCTACTTAGAGCCCTTCGCTAGATAGTTTCTATTTTTTTTTTTATTTTTTTTTCCCCCAAAGAGGAATGCCGTCTCCAGATCCTCGTTGCGCCTCCCCATGACTTTGAAAATTACCAGCTCAATTACCGACTTCTACAGCTGCTGCTGACGTCTCTCCTTCTCTGCTTCATCCTCTCATATCGCCTGGCGTCACTCTAGTTGAGTCAGCAAGTTCTTGCTTTGTGGGACGTTCTCAACCTAATTTTCCCCTCAGATATAACTTGACATGGCGCTGAGCCTTGAGGGTGGAGCTATGGGAGATCTTGCGCCTACCAGGTCGCCTCCCCCTGTACCATCTATGAGCTCTATTACCAGGGTTGAGGCTCCCCAAGCTCTCAACGATGATACTGCTGCTACTGCCTCCGTCCCTCTATCACCGCCACCTGTGCCATCTCCTATCTCTCCCACCACACCCATTTCAACCAACACGCCTCCTTCTCCTTCTCGACCCTCCAGTCTTCAAATAGAATCATTCAATCGTGCCCCAAAGCAGACATCAATTACCTCCACAGAGCTCCCTACCTCTCCCATGAGGTTAATTCATCGCGTCGAAAGTGAAGCAAGAAGGGATTCCAGTCTTGCCACATCTAGAAGGGACAGCAGAACAACAGTGGCCACAGAAGAACTCTCTTCACCAAGCCTGAAGTCGCCTCCTAGCATTCCAAGTATTATCATCGACGAGGAACATGCTCGTCCTAGCTCCCGACTATCAGAACGAAAATGGAGTCCGCTAAAGAAAAACAAGCCAGACCCTCCTCCTGCCGTCCCACCCCTTCCAATTATCGAACCTATTCCGTTTCGTGGTATTACTTTGGACATCCCAACTGGCTCCTTTGGAGACTTGACTTCGGAATCCTTGGAATCAATTTCTGAAGGTCCGCAAAAGAGTGTTGATAGGCCTGGAGAAACTTCTGAAAGTCGGCCAAGAGAAGTTATAGATAACGAAGAGAGCATTATGAGTGATGGGAGTAATAATAATAATAACAACAACAACAACAACAACAACAACAACATCAATGACAATGATAATAATGATAATAATAATACGCTAGACAGCAAATCAACGACTCCCAAATCACTGAATTCGAGGCGTATCAGATCTAACAATTCTCTACGCCCTCGGCCATCTAGCTCTGCAGCTCGAGCTCTTTCGACTGACGAGGAAATCCTATCGCAACGGGTCCGTTTGATGTATGAGAAGGGAGATGAGGCTATTGACGAGGCAGAGGTTAACAAGCTTTTGGGTCTTAATAATGAGGAAGATATATTGGATGGCCCATCACTTGAAGGCGAAAATACGTATATGTGCGAAACTAAACGGGCTAACACTCCAGCTACATCAGTTGTTGGGCACAGCTCGAGAAGGAGTAGTTTTATCCCAAGAGAACCACATGAGCTTGCTGGAGGTTTGGAGGATTGGGAGAATATTCAAGTCGGCGAAGTTGACAGATATGGGTTTATTATACCCCGAAAAGAAACCGGAAATAGTCCAGACATGCGTTCACCTATGCGGCGGGTCTCGGCAAGTTTATTGTTTGCGTCCTCAACTCCACGTAAGAAACGTACGCTACAAAGGGCACCTTCTGCCGCAGCAAGCTCCCGATCCTTCGCAGGACGGTCTCCTCCTCGAAAATCAGCAGATCAATCGCGCCCTTCTTCCTCTCAAAGTTCCTATCATCCAGGTCTTCATAGGTCCTCCTCCAAAATACGATATGCTACCAACAAGTTACCCCATAATAGAAATCGAAAGTTTGTGGATGAAGCAAGAGACATGTTAACTCTCCCCGGTCAAGCCGTTGATGATGACGATGACGGCCCCCGTGCCCTTGCAAGGAAGAAAAAGGAATGGGAAAGAGAAGATAAGTGGAGAAAGATGGCCAAAGTAGTATCTAAATCACACGATGGTTCTGGCATGACTTTCGAATTCGATGTGAAGAGCTCGAAACTTACCGAGCGTACCTGGAAAGGGATTCCCGACAGATGGCGAGCTACAGCCTGGTACGCGTTTTTAAGTGCTAGTGCAAAGAAAAGAAAAGAGAGTCCGTCAGATACAGAGCTCATTCAGAAGTTCAATGATCTCCAAGAGGAAGGCTCCCCCGATGATGTTCAGATTGATATTGATGTTCCCAGGACCATTAACAGTCATATCATGTTCCGTCGCCGGTATAGAGGCGGCCAGAGGCTTCTCTTCCGAGTCCTCCATGCGATGTCCCTCTACTTTCCTGACACTGGATATGTCCAGGGTATGGCTGCGCTGGCTGCGACGCTTCTCGCATACTACGATGAAGAGCATGCTTTCGTCATGCTTGTGAGGTTGTGGCAGCTTAGAGGCTTGGATCGGTTGTACAGATCCGGTTTCTCGGGTCTGATGGAAGCTCTGGATAATTTTGAAAAGGGATGGCTTGATGGCGGTGAAGTAGCTCAGAAGCTGGTATGTTTCTTTCATGAATTCATTCCTCAAAGTAAAGGTAAAACTAATATCAGCCACTAACCCTATATCCAGACTGAACTCGGCATTCCCCCAACTGCCTACGGAACCCGATGGTACCTAACTCTATTCAACTACTCAATTCCATTCCCCGCCCAGCTCCGCGTCTGGGACGTCTTCATGCTCCTAGGAGACTCAGACGAACCACCAGCACCCACGGATTTACCCTCGCCTCTACCCTCAACAAGTTCCCTCACACCAAATGGTAATACCTCCGATGACCAATCATCCCCCAAGCAACCGACCGCTAGCCCCTTCGGCAAAAGCCTTGATGTCCTCCACGCTGCCTCCGCCGCCCTCATCGATGGTATGCGGGATATCATCCTGGAATCAGACTTTGAGAACGCAATGAAGGTTTTGACCAGCTGGGTGCCGATTAATGATGTGGAGATTTTCATGCGGGTTGCTAGGGCGGAGTATAAAGTTCATCGAAAGAAAGGTTGATTGATAGGCTCGACTCGACGCACCGTCAAATTTTCACGCCAGAAACATATATATATCCTTTATATATCGTCATTATCGATTGAACAGATCCAGGGCAGCATCCAGTAGCAAAAACCTATCATCTTGTCATTACCCTCCTCCAGTCCCCGGGGTGGGCACATTAAATTCTGTCCACCCAGCTCCAAACCCGGCGTATTTCTAGTCAACTAACCTCGACATCCATTCTAAATTACATCTATTGTCATTCAATCCTGCTCAAATTCAAAAACTCATTAACAGTCACTTTATTGTCTCAACAATTTTCATTATTTAACTTGGAAGGATAATTAGTACTACTTTCTCTTAAAATGTATATTTAATTTTTTTAAATTAATTTTTTCTTTTATTTGAATTATTATTGTATATATATTTTTATTTATATTTTTTAATTTCATATATTTTAACTTTAATTTTAATTATTTATTTTTTGTAAAAATTTTATTATTTATTAATATTATTATTTTAAATTTATATATTAAAAAATAAAAAATTATAATTATAAATTTTTATTAAAATTATTTACTTTATTAAAATATTTCTTTTATTATTATTTCTTCTTATTATATAAAAAATATTACAATACAGTTACTTATAATATAAATTAAAATTAATTCACTTTATTCTGAAAAATGATTTACTTTACTTTGATTCATCATCTTTTTAGATTCAATTACTCATTCATTTCAATATTTTAATTCTCAGTTTAAAATTTTCATCAAAGCTATATAGTTAGATAAATAAATTAAAACTTTTATTTTATTAATATCTTGATCTTAGACTGAGTTATAATATAATATCAAAATTTTTTTTTTTTCAAAAAAGCTTTAGAAATTAAGTAATAGATCTAATATTCACATTCACATTTATATTTATATTCATATCTGAATGAGTTTCTCAGTAATTATATTCATATTAAATACTCAAAACTTTTATTATATTTATATTTATATTTTAATAAATTTTTCAGTAATTGTTATTATACTAAATACTTAAAATTATTATTAAATTTTTTTTATTTTTATTTTTTTTATTATAGAATTATCTATTACTGCTACTTTTTATTAAAAATTTAAAAAATATTATTTAAAAACTTTATAATTAAAATCAACAGCTTTATATTAAATATTAATTTTTATAATCAACTTTAAATAATTTTGATTCTTTTTTTTTATTTAAAATTTTTATTATTAGATATCAAATAAATCTTTAATAGTTTAAATTATTAAATTTAAATATATTTTCTATAAAATTAAAATTTAAAATTAGTTAAATTCTTTAAAAATATATTAATTTTATTAAAATTTTAATATTAATTTATAATTATTTAATTTAATAATAAATCTCTTTTAAATTTATAAAAAATTTTTATATATTATTGAGTAATTAATTTTTCATTATTTTTATTTATCTTTATTATATATTTTTCAATCTACTTACTCTGATTGTTTTATTTATTTTTATTATTTTATTTATTTTGATCACTTTACTTAGTATAATTTTATAATTTTAAATTAAATTTAACTTAATAATTTTAATTTTTTATATAATTTTTTATTGTATATTTTATCAAAAAGATTATTATATATATTATAAATTTTATAATTATTAAATTTAAAAATATCTAAAGTTCTATCATAACTATATGCGAGATTACATACAAAAAATAGCCTGTAGCTAGGTATCAGTGCATAATTTGACTGGAAAACTCATATTGTTGAAAAATCAGTTATTTCCTCCATATAATCATTTCCACCTGCTTACCATATCTTCTAATATCTGCCACCATAGAGTGTATCTAGTCATCTCAAGCAGCTTGGTCAGCCTGTCTGCTGCATTCTCAGTGGATGAGATGTAATCAATTGAGATCTCATTCTTGCAGATGAGATCCTGAAGAGTATGGAAGTGGACCTCTATATGCTTAGAACAGCATGAAATAGTCTCACTTTTGATCAGTTCAATTGCTGATTTATTATCTGCTCAAATTGTATATGCTAGCTTATTGACCAGTGATTCAATCAGACCATCATTATCATTAAGATTATTGAGCTGAGATGGTATGAAGCCAGCATCCTCCAGCAATTCCTAGAGGCAGACAAGCTCATAGGTGGCCTCTGAGAATGTGATATATTTGATCTCAGTAGATGATTTTGAAACATCTATCTGCTTGCTGCTTTGCCAAGCAACAGGACTCCCTGTCATATAAATGACATATTCAGTGATGGAGTGGGAACTCAGATCACAGCCCACTCAATCAGCATCAGTGAACACCATAGGTTCTATATCTACATCTTTTCAGTAGGACACACCTATGTCAGGCATGCCTTGTAGATATCTAAGAATTTGCTTGAATGCTGCTCAATTCTTTGAGATAGAGCAGGAGCTGAATCTCCCTAGGAAGCCAGCAGCAAAGCTTATATCAGAGTGTGTGTTGGCAGTGAGATATTGCAGAGAGTCAACCTCTGATTGATAGAAACATAATGTAAATTTCACTGTATAAGCAACTGGTTCTTCATTATCACTCATGAAATCAACATTCTCCTTCATAGGAGAAGATGTTGAGTGACAGTCATTCATTGAGAATTTCTCAAGCAGATTCTTTATGAACAGTGGCTGGGACAGCAATAATGATTCAGCATCTCAATCAATCTTCATATTCAAATATCAGTTTGAATCACTCACATTCTTGATCTCATAATTAGTGGTGATCTGAGCTTTTGTCCACTCAATATCTGATATATTCAGATCATATAGGTGAACATTGTCCACATAGATGGTTATATAGACCTTGCAGACATCATTTATGAAAAAACCAGTGTCATGAGAACTGATGTGGAAGCCTGTTTTCAATAGCATTTTTCACAGCTTCTTATATCATAATAGTGCTGCTTGCTTCAGGCCATATAGTCTCTGCATCAATTCACATACCAGATTGTCACATCCCTCATGGAACTCAGCAGGTTGATGCATATATATATGTTCATTGGTGGGAAGCTGGGCATTTAAGAATGCTGTAATCATGTCAATCTGCAGAATGTGCCATTCTTGGAATATTAAGATTGTCATAAGTGCTCAGTAGGTGGAAGCTGATACAACTGATGTGAATGTCTTTGAATAGTTGACACTCTTTTCTTGATAATTGCTGCAGACTACCCAGCAGATCTTATATCAATCAATTCTACCCACATTATTAATCTTTTTGTCAAACACTCATTGGTCACATAGGATCATCATATCTGGAGTCCTTTCAACTAGCTGCCATGCACCAATCTGCTTGAGGTGATTAATCTTCTTAACACAGACATGAAAGTAATATTTTCAATCTGCAGACACCTGAGTCTAAGTAAAGTTCTTTGAAACTGGCAAGCCAGCAATCTCAGAGTCTGCAGGAATGTCAGTTGAATTGTCAGTGAAATCTCTCACTGAGGCTTCCCTTACTGAAGTAATATTCTCAGTGAGCATTGAAGAATTCTTCATCTCTAAAGTGGACCCTGGGAGGACAGTAGTGTTCTGCATCAAAAATGTTGAAATCTGTGCAGTAATCTCATAGTCTATTTATCAATTATTTGTAGAGTGTAGAAATACTGAGGGGGCAGATAGAGACTTCTCATTCACCATGAAATCATCTGTTGATAAATCATGTTAAGTGGAGAGGATTGCAATCACAGCCACACACAGGCAGTGGAAGGCAGGTTCTTGACACCTTGCTCAAGTGAGGCTAAAGGATTTGCCAAATGAAGATCTTCTTGAAATATCATGTCTTTTGATGTGTAAAGACAATCATTAGAAGGATTGATCAATCTATAATTAGTAAAATCATCATAGCCTGTAAATATAAGCTCCTGTGATCATGAGGCCATCTTCATATTCAGCTTGAGCACTATTTTTAAATAAGCCTTGCACCCCCATCAGTGAATTCTGTGTGTGGAGGGCAGGGCCTTGAGCCAAGCTTCATATGAGGTAATTAGCTTCAGATCCAAATCCTCTACATCATTATAGAGCTTGACTGATGTTGACATAAGATTAAGCATTTCAGTCACTGCAATTACTGCCTCACCTCACATCTGGGGGAGAGCAGATGAATCTATTAATAATATTTGAGCTTTTTCAATAATCAGGTCAATAGAATGTTCAGACACACCATCTTACTGTGGAGTATGAGACAGGGTTGATTCTCATTTAATACCCTCACTCATCATATAGGCGGCTGCTGTGTTTGAATTCAACTCATCATGATCAGAGTGGATAATCACAACACCACAATTGAGCAGATTCTTCATAAATTGATTGAAGGTCCATATATATTTTAGAGCCTCATTGCAGCACTTCAATAGAAAGGTCCACCACATTCATGTGACATCATCAGTGATCATCATCATGAGCTTCTTACTCACATAGAATGGTATATCTTCTTCATTATCAAGCATTTCTCCACCCCTGAATAGGTCCACTCAGATCTTAAGACCTTTGCAGGTGGCACAGTGTAGGGGAGCATTTTTATAACTTGCACATTTATACTTGGCTTTAATGCACATGGTGCAGAATGAGAGCTTCTTTGAGCTGATGATGGCAATTTCAAAACAGAGCTCCTGCAACATTTTAATTAGATTCTCCTCATCAATATGACTCAATTGCTGGTGCCACTTGTCAATCAGTAGCTGCTTCAACATAATGACAGGGAAGCCAGTTGATGGGGACAAAATGAAGGTATCAGTATCTGAATCCTTCAGGTTAATCAGCTGCTCCACATCATTGTGGTTGAAAAAACCCAGTGATGCAGTGTTCAGATCATAATCTGTTGAAATCACTCTGAGCTTCAGGACTGTCAAGTATGCCAGTGGTCCAAGCTCCAGATCATTCATAATACCCCTGAACATAGAAGAGATGTCAGATAGGACATATATATTATTGAAATTCAAAATCACATAGAAGATGTTGTTTTCTGTAAATGCTATTATCTCAAAGTAATTTCCAGCATTCACCTGCAGATCACAGTGAATATAGCTCTGGTGCTCCAATAGGCCAGTGGATATGAGATTGATGGATAAGTCTGGCATCAAATAGATATGATTAAATTTGATTAATCTTTCCTCAACTGAGATGGAGGTGACTCTGATTCCTTGAATTTTCAAGATAGTCTTATTGACCACTTGAATTGTAGAGCTGCTAATCTCTGTTATTTGGAAAAATCATGATCAATCACATGCAATATGACATCCAGCCTCACTATCTCATATGATGAGTGAGTTAATGATTGGTTCAGCAGAGTACACAGGCACCTCAATGACCTGCACTAGATTTGCCATTTGAAACATCTCAGAGCTGTCATTTGCAGTTGACAGGGCCTTCTTGTCCTCACTACTCTTCTTATTGTTATATTTCTCTATTCTCATTGTGTTGGTGGTCCTCCATTCTTCAGAAGTGCTATTCAGATTGACTGCCCAGCAGAGTCTGTCATGATGATGCTCACATTCCAGGCAGATTGAGAGATCAGACTTTGAACATCCACTCATTCAATAGTCTCTGCATCCCCTGGGTCAGCCCTCACAGGCTGAATTATTTTGGACATTGTTGCTATTATTGAAACTGCAGCTGTGTTTTCAGCCTGAGCTACATTGGCTGAAAAATTAGCTGCTTGAGTGGGCTTCTTGATCTCTTTGAGAGGATTCAATCAAGAGCATATTTCCTTCATGGTTGAATGAACATCCAACATGACAGACTTTGATTTGAACTCTTGTACCTCCTCAATTTTCTTTTGCACATAGTTTCATCATATATTGAAAAGTGCAGAATAGAACACATAGAATACCATGTCATTTAGCAGTAAGATATCAAGTATTTCCAATTTCATAGTAACATCATTGAACTTATTGAAAAATGTATGTATGTCAGTGACTTGAACATCACTCATTGATGTAAATACCAGGACTGCTTCCCTGCAGAGCTGCATTCTTGAGATGAAGAACTTCTTCTCAACTGTGTGTCAAAGAGAATAAGTGATTCTGCCCTTATCATACTTATTAAAACAGGGCCTAATGCTGGCTGCCAATACATTCAAAATGAATGTGTAAAGTCAGCAATTTTTGGCCTCTCAAAAAGGAGCCCATTCAGAGTTCTCATCAGGGCTTTTGACTTGCTTGTCCTCCAATATAACTCAGCATTGAGTGTCAATTAGCTTGGCCTTCATATTCACATGCCAGGAGAGGTAATTTGAAGATCTGATCAGAGCATTTGACTTGATGGCATATTTAATATTCTGTTTGAACTGGCTGATTGCCTTGCTGACACAGCTATCCAGGTCATAGAGATTATATTGCATTCAGAACCTCAAGTTCAGATTTCATGCTGACATTCAATTCACTGACAGATTTGCAGGCATTGCAGCCCTGTCATTCTGAGTGCAGAGCCTCTTCAATTGAAGTTGAAGCTGCAATTCTTTGCATCTCTCTTTTTGAAGTTCTAAATCAATCTTTTAACATTCAAGATTCAATCTCCTCAGTTGCAATTCTTTAGAGTCAGTTGTTGATGACAGATTAGAGGTCATCACAGACATCTCCACCTCATCTTCTGAAGGAGTCAGGTCAGTATATTTGATACAGTGTAGGTGGACTGGCCTCACTGTGATAGAGGCTGTAATCAGCCTGACTTGCTGATTGAGTATTCTGAAGAGTTCAATATTGAAACTTCTGAATGTCTCTGAGAGAGTCAGTGAGCTCAGAGCTCTCTGATCATTTTCAGATTGATCAGATTAACTGAATTGACTTGATCATGACTGTGAGTGAGTCATCATATGTTCCATCATGTCATATTAATCTTCTTTCTAATAGAGTAATCTTATTCAGTGAGATTCTTGTCTATAAGCTTGATTGAGCAGATTGACATGTTCTTGTGCAATCAGTCACTGAAAAATTAGCAAGTTGCAGATTTTTCTTTCACCTGCTAAGTGAATGAATTGAATACAGAAAAAATAATAATAATATAAAAGTGCATCAAATCAATCAATTGACATAAAATAAGACAATATTATATTGAATGAAGCAAGCAGCAATTAATATACACTATATTTGGCAAGAATTCCCTGAATTGGCAGTTATTTGCGCAAAATGGGTCTCATAACCTGTCAAGGATAGATTGCTTGATTGATTATGAGGCGATCACTAGCTACGCGGAAGTTATATACAGTGCGGATTACGTAAGAAGGCGGATAGGCCTGACAATATATACATACCGGGATTAGACAAGTTAGGGTTATTAGTCAGCATTATGTTCACCACCCTTGGTAGCTCATCGAAGTACAGTCTCTGTCCAAACTCGAGGGCCGAAGTCCAATCAGGCCAGAGGCACGGTGGCAGAAGAATATTGACAAAAGGCCAGGGCCTACATCATGTGGTCACTAGCATAATGACCAAGGGCCACTGACCTAGGTTGCCATGCTGGAGGCAGGAGACAATAAGCCTGATGGGTCCATGGAACGCGATCCATGGACCTGGTAGGCCCAAAGAGGGCCAACTTGTGGCCGTGCTGGGCTGTAGACGGCAGAGGCCATTGAATTGATTTCTGTGGTCCTGTGGCAATCAAGGACCCTCTGTCAAAGGCCCCAGGATTTCTCAGCATTTTGCTACGCGCGATGCTTGGTCTTTCTCTCTCATTCTCATTCACTGTCAGCATACCACAGACTCTCTGAAGCTATAACAACTGCTGCTCTCAACCCCTTCACCCTTTTGTCATCTGTGCGGAGTCCCCTTCCCTTCTCTCTGTTCTTTGGAGGCAGGAGGAGAAGTTGACAATATCAAATTTAATAAGGAAGATGTGACAGGTTCTGCTTCATGAAGAAGTCTAATAATAATCAGTATGAGTGAACTTGTTAGAGGATCTATGCCAGCCTTCTTTGCAGGTATCAGTTGTAAATGTTGGTAGTTAATGCAAAGAATTTCTTGTGGCAGAGGTGGCTATTCTCTATTACATGATGGCTAGAATATTGTTTAATAGAGGATGGTGAACGCATATTTCATATCTAAGCTAATAATTTAGTGACACGTGTTCACATTTGCTAATATAAAAATGAAATGGCTTCATTATTCAGTGGGCAGATTAAAATTCATTTAAACAATCTGTGTGGCCACTGGACACCTCTGCTACACAGATATAAGTGCATATAAAGGAACTTCAGCAGCAATCATTCATCATTCAAGAACTACAAGATGCCCAGTTTCAAGACACAATAGATCATTGTGAGATTAATAGTGTTTTGTGAAATAAAATAAGTTGATGATGAGGACTTTATTGACTGATACAGTGCGGCACACATTAGAATGATCAGATATAAATAGATGAAATTCTCAACTTTTGCTTGCTTTTCATTGGAGCAAAATAATGCAACTGCCATTTGCACATGCTGCCTTTTTGGGACCAGAGACATAGAATTCATGATTATGGCAAATATTGATTGGCATCATTTAACAGCAGCAACACTGCTCACATCTGCTTTCTTGAACACTGACTAGCTCTGCTGCCTTCAATTTCCAACTCCAGCCTCATCAACTGGCATTCTCAGTTGAAATGAGGAATCAGATAGTTCCAGATGATGATTTAAATTTCTCAGCATTTTGTAGTAAAAGTATTAGTGAATGAATATGAACTAATGCAGATTCAGTGTATATGTTGATAGAGCAATGTAGCCTAGCTTGCATTTCATTTCTATTTTGATAGAGCATGCGTTTGAGTAAGAGTGAGCATGGCCATGATATGTGAGAACTGCAACTCCTTTTATTACATATATATATATATATATATATCTATACTACAAAACTAGTTCTCTAAGCTCTGTTGATATTCTAATGCCAGTTTCTCCTGAGTGTGATCCTGCACAACAGTTCCATAGGCCTCCTCTGCATGGTTGAGAAGAGTAGATTTGGCTGGAAGCACCTTCCCCTCACAAACATTGCACTCAACCTCAGCAGCCGGCCATGGAGGATTGATATACCTTCATAGAAAATGCCTTGTAAGTGATTCAGATGTTGTGTATTTTTTAATATGGCACTCCAGTGAGCAACTAGAATTTTCAATACAGAGAAAGCAAATGCAAGACTGAAAGCAAGTCTAAGACTGTTCAGCTGTGAACTTGATCTACACAAACTTCATTGCTTGATGCAAGAAAACCTCAGTGTTATTCTTTACCAAGCACCTCTGCTGCTTGATTGAAGGATAAGGGTCATCATCAACTGTGAGCCAGCACAAAAGCCACTCTTCCTCCACACCACAGAATGTGACCTCTGTGTTGATTGTGTTGATTCTCCATTGATATTCTGCTTCAAGACTAGCACCTGGCAAGGTCAGCATGCAGTCAACAAACATCAAGTGCTCCAGAGGCATGAAGGCCTCATGCTCAAAAGTGTCTATGACTTTGATATCCATCAGCTTCCCAGCCAGTTGTCATTCAAGATCAATCACAGGTTGCTCATTCTTATAGCACTCAAGGTTCTCACAGATCTGTCAGTTCTGCTGCTGCTGCTTCTCATTATGCAGCTCATGAACAGCACTATTGTACACTGACTTTGCTTCTGCTGTTCAATTATGGAAAACCTCCAGTCTCTCCAGCACCTCAGGGTTGGACTCAGCAAGTACTCTGTCATCAAGATGCTCTAAAGCAGTCTTGCACACCTTGTTGACATATTCTAACTTGACTTCATGATCATCCAATTCCCACTTGCACTTCTGAATAGTATCCTGCTGATCAAGAACAACTGAAAGGTATTTGAGAGACCTTGATTCTTCTGGATAGAGCTTAAATGATCAGTTGGAGTTGATTGATGCACTCATCAAGCAGGCAAATCACATCAATTCTGTTTAGGAGCCTGTTTTCTGGACTATTCCCTGCATGTCAACATCAACATCCACCTGATAATGCTTGATAAAGGTATGAATATCCACATGTTAGAGCATGACATTCTGAAGAGCCTCTGATACTTTCTCTGTTCATTATTAGCCTTCCAACATGACTGAAACATGAAGAAAATGGAGGGGTACTTACTGCTGTTGTTAAATGCCTTAGCTCCAGCATAGCAGAGGTTGTATGGGTAGGTGATCTTCTCAAAGCCTGTGATCTTACTGGCTCAGCATATCTGAGAACTCACCATGGATGAAGTCATCCTCTTATCCAGGTAAATTTTAAATCCAGTGGATGTTAGCTCTGTCTGGCAAAACACAAACTTATTCAGTAATTCATTCTTCAGTAGCAGTGGCTGCTGTCTTTTATCATTCAGCACTTTGACACTGTAGAGTTTCTCTGCAGAATTCAACATTGGTTCAGTTGTTGAAATTGACTTGAATCCTTCAATGTGAAAGAGCATAATCAGCAGGTAGATATGGAGGCTGAGAACCAGAGTTGAGTCAAAGATGATTTCTGAAATTTTAAACTCATTTCTATCATTCTGTCAGTCAACCAGCCCATGCCATGAGGATCAGAAACACATATAGTACCTTATCTTCAAGAAATCTTTTGGTAAACTCTGGTTTTAAGAATATGAACAATCAGTAGCATCCACCATCTGAAACTCAGATCAGGGTTAGAATGATATCTTGATACTGAAGATGAAGAATCACTGAGAGACAGCTGACAGTGATGACTGCAAGCTGCAAGAAGAAAAGCATTTAAATGCACTGTCAATCAGAGACAAATGTCATCTCAGTGATGATGAGAATGACTTAAGTGAACTCAGCAACATCTTTGATATACATGTTCTTCTTTGATCATCTGACAAGAGTCAGCTCATTTTCTGTGACCACCTGTGCAACAACCTGTGAGAGATTAGTGATGCTTCTGGTTTAGTGACTTGAGAAGAGAATGCTCACATCTTTCACCTTGACAATTGTATCTTTGTTGAGTCCTGATGCTGTTTTCTGTTTGAGAACAAGATGTCATCACTTTCAAAATGTCTTCAGTGAGCTTTTGTGTTTAATGTCTGAACAGTATTGATTATTCTTGCCACAACAGATATCACACTGTCAACTGAAGAACACATACAAAAAATGAATCATCTTCTCTGAATTAGAGATTCACTCTCATTGCTGCTCTGTGTTAGTCTTGATGTGCTGACAATATCTGTCCAGCACCACTGATGAGCTTATAACACTATTGAAAAGTCAAGTGAGCCACAGTCTATCTCTCTTAGTAATTGCAGATCTCATTAAGTTTTTCCTAAGTTTTGAGACTGTACCACTTCTGTCAAAGCTGAGTGATATCAAGACTCTCTGCTAAAGTCAGATAGTGTTCAGCAGGAAGTTGATCATCATCATCATCTTTATCATAACTGATGAAGTCACTTTCATACCTGCTGTCTGAAATGATAACATTCAGTGTGAAGAGGAAATTCAGAGCAGCTAAAACATTCATCTTGCTGCTGCTCTGCCTGTCAGGTCTGATCAAACAAGACAGAGACATCATGATCAGAGCAGCCCAAGAGGAGCTGACAGTAGAGAGGGACAGGACAAGTAATGAATGACTTAAGACACTTTCATGAATAGAACTGACCAGGTAGTGCTGTGAAGGAGAGGAGGAAAGAGAGGTATCAATTGTTAGGGAGCGAATGCGAGCTGCATAAGAAGGAAACTCTCTGCGTTGCTAACTGCTATATAATGAAATACTAAGCTTGATGGGATGAAAGAGGTGCTGGGGCCTGCCTGGGTTATAACCACCCACATGGTCATTTGATCACGTGAGTATATTTGGCCTAACCAGGCGCTGAGCTTAATCTGATGTTGAGTCTAACTGGGCACTGAGCCTCAGTCAGGCTTGGTCAGGCGCTGAGTCTAACATCACCCTCTGGTCTAGGGACAGGCATGTCCTCATGCTGGTAGATCATCATCAACCTCATCCTTCAGGTAGCTGTCTGTCTCCCATGCCTTCAGCCACTCATCTAGTCATCTTGAGGGTCCAGCTTTTGTAGGATTAGCTTTATGAAAGTTGCATATGGTGTGTGATGATTCTTTGAAGTCATGAGCTGGGTATCAAGATGAGTCCTCATCAAATCTCTTCCAGTGGACTTGATATTGCAGTTTGTCTCAATTTATTCAACTGACTAATATATGCTCCACTTTCCATTCATTTTCTTCATCTATCTCAATTGGATCTGGTGGTTTGACAGTCTGCTCTGGTAGGAGGTCTCTTGAATCTTTGTGCAGCTTGTCTGAGGAGAAGATTGAATGAATTTTCATGATTGTGAGGAGGTCCAGTCTATAGGCATTGCTCACTCTCTCTAGGATTCTGAAGGGACCTGTGTTCTGTGCTGTCAGCTTATGGCTTGATCAGTCAATTCTGTATGATTTCAATGTCAAATAGACAAAATCTCTCACTGTGAAGTTAGATTCTCAGTGATGTCTGTCAGTCTGCCTCTTCATCTGTTCCTGTGCTGTCTTCATGCCCTTGCCTGCTCACTTTCAGATCTCTTTCATCTGTTTAACAAAGTTTTGAGCAGCTCTTCAATTTGTCCTCTTCCCTGCTCTTAGTTCTCTTGACAGAGGCCTTCAGTCAAATGATGTTTGTGACTCATATTCATTTGCAGCTAGAAAGAGGGAGATTTCAGTGAAGGTGTTTGAGATGACTGCAGAAGCATAATCTATAATGAGTAATCACTCATCTCAGTCATTTTGATAGTAATTAACATATGAGTGAAGATGCATGACAATATACTGATTTGTTGTCTCTGTCTGCTCATCTGTCTGTGCATGATGTGCTGTTGAGAGTTTCAACTTTATGTCTAGAATTTCTGTGAACTCATCTCAGAAGTTCAATATGAACTGAGGACTGTAGTCAGAGACAATTGAGTCTGGTGCCTCATTATAGAAATAGTAGAATTGAATGAATAATCAAGTCAGCTCCTGAGCTGTAACTCTACAGGTGATAGAAACTGAAATTGTCTTCTTGTTTAACTGACAGACTATAACTAGAATGACATCACAGTCACTTTTGCTCTTTGATACATTTATGAAGTCTATTGTGATATGCTGTCATGCTCATTCTGGTATTAATAGTGGCTTTAGCAGGCCAGGGACTTTGTTTCTTGAAATCTTACTAACTCAGCATGTATGACAGTTTCAAACATAGTGTAAGACATTCATCCACCAGGTGGTCCATCAATAGTGAGGATGAATCAGAATCAGAGTCTTTCATTCCTCTGAATGTGCTGTTGAGACTTGATCATGAATTTTCTTTAGCAGAGCAGCTATAAGAGTTTCTTCCTGAACAGACACTATCAATCTTCCATGATAGAGCAACATATTATTCTTTATTGTATAGAGGCTATTCTCCTCTCCTACTTGCTGCTGCAGAGGCTCAATTGAGATGACTGTCTTATTTAAAGACACTATGCATTCAGCAATGTTCTCTTTCTCTGAGAAGTTAATGCTAGCAATATTCATAGAGAGAGTGATCTGAAGATCAAGAATCTCTGATTCTAGAAGAATCTGCATATGACTGTTCTGTTGCTTCTTAATCTGCTCAGGCCTGCTCAGTGTGTCAGCTAGCAGGTTGGCCTTACCTGGTCAATACTTAATCTCAAAATAGAAATGGGAAAGGAATTCTGTCCAGCAGGCCTGATGTGCATTCAGCTTCTTGATTGTCATGAAGTATTTCAGTGCATGATGATCAGTGAGAACCTTGAATTGTTCTTTCTGTTGTAGTTCCTCAAGCTCAGCTCATCACTTCTGCAATGCTCAGATGACTGCAAGCATTTTCTTGTCATGAATCTCATAGTTGAGCTCTGCATCATTCATTGACTTGAAGTAGAAGATCACAGAGTGTCAAAGATTATCATTCAATCTTTGACTCAGTATTTCAGTCATCACTCCATCTGAGACATCAGTCTCAATGCAGGTTTCATGTTCAGGGTTAAAGTAATGTAGAATTGGAGTCTTCATCAGCTGCTTCTTCAGTTTCTCAAAGACTGATTGACATTCTGATGTCCACACAAATGAAACTGTCTTCTTTGTCAACTGATATAGTGATTTTGCAATTCAGCTATAGTTCCTTATAAATCACTGATAGAAGTTGTCAAATTCTAGAAATGATTGAACATCTTTTACTGTGATTGAGATCTGTCACTTTGTGATGACAGCAGTCTTCTCAGAGTCTGTCTCAATCTTCTCTGTGATAATGATAAATCTCAGATATCTTGTTCTCTGAACAGCAAACTTGCATTTCTGAATGCTAGCTTGCAAGCCTGCTGTCTTTAATCAGTTCAGTATCAGGTTCACTTGCTGCTTGTGTTCTTCAAGAGTCCTGCTGTAGATTAGAAGGTCATTCATGAATGCTATTATGAACTTGTCCAGGTAGTCAAAGAAGATACTGTTGACAAATCATTGAAAGCAGGCAGGGGCATTTGTAAGGTCAAAGAAGATCACCTGATATTTATAGATTCTGTAGCAGGTTCTAAAGGTGATCAGATCCTCCAACTTAGAGTTCATTCAGATGCAATGAAACCTCTGCTGAATGTCCAGCTTTGTAAAGTATTTTGCTCTATTGAGTTGGTCCATCAGCTCATCTATTAGAGGCAAAGGATACTGATCTCATTTGATCATAGCATTCAGCTTGTGAAAGTCAACACAGAATTGTAGCTTCTTCTCACTATGAGCAATCAGAATTGAGGAGGTGTAGAGAGCTGAACTTGAAATGACAAAGTTCTTTGCTAGATTGATTTCAAGGTAGGTCTTCACTGCTTCTAGTTCCTCCAGATTCATCTTATATAGAGACACATGTCCAATGTTCTGAATGAGGTCAGTGTCAGACTGAAGCTCTATCTTAAAATCAACATTCTTCTGTAGAGGAGATAATTCATCTGATGCTTTCTTTGAGAAACAGTTCTCTCAGTCTTTCAATCATTCTGGTAAGTTGCTGATCAGCTTCTCATCAGACTTCTTCTCAGCTTTCACTAAACTCTGCTTCTTCTCAAGCTGTTTATCAATTTTATACAGACTGGTTATGAAGACTGTCAAGTTCTTGTTCTTCATATAACTGTGGAAAGAAGCAGTCTCAATGAAGTTCATATTCATCATCTGTGATGCTGTCTTCTCTCAGATTGGTCTCTGCCTTGTCTTAGATGTTATGACTGAGCTGGTCTCTTTCAATCTGCAGAGCTGAGCCTGATGCTTCTGTCTGATCTTCTTGTTCAGTTTGATCTCTCTTCATTTTGCATCTGCCTGATGCTCAGACTTAGAGTCTGGACACTTCAGTATTGATCAGAGCACTATCTTCAGCATTGACTCCATCATCTGTTCTGGAATAGATCATTCACTTGGTCAAACCAGG